ATCCACCCCCTCAACACCCGCCCGGAAGACCACGTATGGAGGGCCCAAAGTCCGCATGTACGGGCTGTACAGGCGCTGAGGGCCCGTATGTACGCTCGTACAGGAATACGAACGGGCCATCCCCGTACAGGGTGACGACATTGAAGAGAATTGAAACATTGCAAACATGATCTGAGAATAATGAACAGATTGAATCTTCCAGAGATTGCTAGAGATAGCAATGTCTACCTGTTCACACATTTAGTAGGCCCCAAGTGTCAACTTGTAAGCACTGGTAGTCTTCCTCCTGCAACCTATAAAGGATTAAAAAGACTTTACAGGTTCCAACGAGCCCCAACTGAAAGCTCTAGCCCATATCATACCATCTCAGAGGAAAGTTTCTATTAATGAGCTGTTGAAATATAGATCCAAGGTTTTTTTCTTTTTCTATAAAGCTATATTCTTCTCTAAAGTTTCACCTCTCACTACGTACCCTTTACTCCTAAGCATATACAGGGGACCCCTGCAGACCCAAGTTCAAATGCAAATGCAATCAGATAAACAAAATAAAGTAATACTGAACTACCTGGCGTCGGTCAGTTCCATTACGATATCTGAAGGTCGAAGCCCTTTCTTTCTCTAAGGAAAAAAAAAAAAGGCCGGAATCAAAGACCAGGGTTGGTGCAACCCTCCCCTTAAGGTGCTACGAAGGTACTAAGTTTGCTAGAGAAGGTAATAAAACTTGTTTGTGGTTGTACTGCTGTTGTTCTGATTACCACCCAGAGGTTCTAGCCTATCATCAGTAGACGTACAGCCACCATCCACCCCTCTACTGTAGTCATCCACTGGACCCCTCTCCAGTCGCTTGTGTTTGTTTGTTGTTTATCATCTGAAGGTATTCTATCCCCTGTCATCACCAGGTTCCTGGCCACCATCCATCCTTTTTTTTTCTTTTTTTTTTTAAGGACATGCTCCAATCTATTCGTGGGAGCAGCACGTGCTGGGAACTGGGCCCAGCGTCCCATTCAAGAACGCATTGAGAAATTTATGCAGAACACTTTGAGATACCAGGGCCATTACCTGGATTCTGCTGAAAATGATAGCTATGCAATCTACACAAAAACTTAGACAGCCATAACCCCAAACCTTTGATCATGGGAACATTCAGACCGAAAACCACCTGCCTTAGCGCCTTTCAGCAGCCCAACCCTAGCCGCCTCTCCCCCATATCCCGATACCCAATCTCTACCAGGCCTCCCACCCCCAACTGCTAGGTTACAGAGTGGCACGACCCACCCCAGAAACCCCCCCACCTGCTAGGCTACAGGGCAAAGCGACCCACCCCGGCTCCAGCCAGCGTCAACTAAGTACCAGCTCACCAATAGACACTAGAGTGCCTTCCACCCTTGACAACTTGCCAGATCTCTCTACCAGGTCTCATGCCCCCATACAGCTCGAGTTACAGGGCAGCGCGACCAGTGTCGTTCTGGCCTCGTCCTTTCACAAACCACCATCCATCCTCATTCCTCGGTCATCAGCAAGATTCCTCCAGTTGTTCTAGCTGTCTTGCATGACCCAGATCCATCTTGGTCATCAGAAGGTACATGCCCACCACCCACTCCAAGACCTCTGTGATCAACTGGGCCTACTGAGCCTACTCTGTCCTATTTGTCATGGGGGGCAGGCAATCCCTCTGCTGCAAATCCCCCATCACCATCCCACCTGCATGAACCCCCCCCCCCCTACACATACAAGCAAGGCCATCAGGTAACCAACTACTGTGAGATCGTCCAATCCACTAGGCCTACAAGGCCGATCCCTGCCTGCACCTCAGAGATATTGATACTATGTGATGCGAAAGGCTGATTGGAATAGAACCCCCGACCTCTCCCTTGCAGCACTCCAGTTCAACCCACTGAGATAATACATCAGCTGACTGTCTATGCGCCCTACTAGGCTGGGGGACAACTATGTGGCGTGCCAACCTACCACCAACTGATCGTGCGCAGGGGTGGTTGACGGTCTACAGAGTCGAACCCTCAACCTCCCCGTTTCAATGTCACAGCTCTAACCCACTGAGCTACCATGCTTGTGCCACTCTGAGTAAATTGAGTAAATTGTTATGGTTCAGTGTACCACCTTTCCCTGGCTCTACTCCTAGAAGAGTCATGATTACAGGGCAACCATCTCTATAGATGCTATACCATCCACACCACCCGGACCCCTTTCCTGCTTGTATCGGAGCACAGGCTGATGTCACCAAGCCTACCATCTTTGGATACACTTCGTCCTGCTGCCTGGCATCCTTGCTTGACCAACCTCATTTCTTCCAGTATGCCCCAAGCTACTGCAATGGAGCAGCACTCTCCATAGCTGCTGTGCCAAGTTCAGGGCTGCAGGATGTAGAATCGCCAACCAGACAAACGTAGGGTTCCCTCCGCCTAATTCTTTTCCTATCGAGGCAGGCACCCTACCCCTCCGAGACTCCCAGTGAAGGAACCAGATCCTGAATTAGCCTTAGCCTTGTCTGAAATGAACTGAATCATGGACAGGTACAGAACAAACACCCCAAGAAGTGCACCATGCACGTGCTTCGGCAGTGGCTAGCCGGCAATTTCCAGACAATGCCAGGCTTGTTCAGCACCCTTTCCCGAACTAATTCTCCCATAGCAAATCAACAGAAAAGAGCCTCCTCCACAGTCCTTCCCCTCTAGATGGGTAGTCCCTCTCTTATAATCCGTCGAGCCTCCCTTTCCACGTCCCCTTCCACACCCTCTGAGACTTGGTGAAACCTAGCTGGTCCGAAGACTACAAGATAGTAAGATAACCCTGTAATGCACATGTGATGCATTCGTGGACTAGACCTTTGTTTGCATCTGAAATGGCCGCATGCGATGGTTCTGCAGTCGGAGTTTTTTTCCTCGTTCGCTGAGCAGATCCCAATCCGCTTGCGACGCACGGTCATCTTCGACCCTGACGTCATCCTCTGCTCGTGACTCGTCAAAAAGGTTCGCCATATCTGTAGTCTTGGTCAGCGACTCCCACCCTACTTCCAAAAACATGCTGTGAAAGCCTTGAATAACTGTGCGCATTGCTGGCCTCGCCCCATATTCCTCGTGGACGCATTCCCAAGCCAGTTGGATAGTGCTCATCACCAGGTGCTTCATTGAATCTCCCTCTGCTTGGTCCCGTAGCCAGGGATCAAGGATCGCATATGGCATGTCCACTGTCCGGTCTTGGTCTTGGATGTTTTCTCCTCCACCTCGAAGGAAAGGCTTCACCCACTCGACAAGCGTCTCCCATCCCACCCCTGAAGGCGCTGGTGCAGCCACCTTCCTTCCCGTCAGGAGCTCTAATACGAGCACCCCAAAGGAATAAACATCATTCTTCTCCGACAGCTCTCCTCTCAGCATGTATTCAGGTGACATGTACCCGAATGTGCCACCGATGTGGGACGTCAGAACAATATGGTCGTGGCCGGTGTCCAACACTCTCTCCCCAATGGCAGCCAATCCGAAATCAGCGAGAACGACATGGAGCGTCTCCCCACACCCATCTCCTAGAAGGACGTTGCTGCTCTTGATGTCACGATGGATGATGGGAGGCTTGGCACCGTCGTGTAGGTAGCAGAGCCCCTTGGCTATCTGGAACGCGACGCTCATGCGCTCCTGAAGAGTGAGCGGGGGAAGAGATTCTGTGTGTTCCTCGACGAGAGAGGTTTGCCCTGTCCCCTTTCCAACGTTGGGGAATAACCTTCGGTGCAAGCAGCCGCCTCGGAAGAATGGGTACACAAGTATGCAATGACTGCCCTCCAGGCAGTACCCGATGAGCTGGATCAGATTGACATGATTGACTGCACTGAGTGTGTTCACCTCCGCCACAAACTGACTCCGCTTGGTGTCCGTCAGCTCACCCGTCATTACCTTCATTGCCACCTCCATGCCGTCGACCGACCCCCTATAGACTTTTCCAAACGCCCCTCTTTCCCCGATCCGTAAACTGTCACTAAAATTTCCAGTGCAGTCCAACAGCATTTGCAAGGGGAACCGCTTGAGGCGCGAGGGCTTGAGTCCTGAGATGTCGAAAGGAGTGCAGTCCGTTGTTGGCCGCTGGCTTTCTAGATTCGCCTCGCGAGCTCGAGGGCTATGGGTTTTACAGGGGTTGAACATGAACTTCAAGCCGGCAGCGATTCCCAATACCACAAACCCTGCCGTGACGGAGACTATTAACATGAGGCCCACGAAAGGAATGGCTGACATGCGCCCCCGTTTACAAATGTGTAGGTCCGACCTGTGAAGCGGTACTCGAAACAAGTTGCCGTTGCTCGTTCCAATGTACAGGCTTAGTAGTTTCCCGTCATCGTGAAGGGCCAATCCCGTGAATTCTGCATGGTATATTATTCCACTCCTCGTCCGTTCAGCTTTGGGACCCTTGCAGGGCAAGTTGACGGGAAAGACATCAAGTTGAATTCCTTTTCCCCGAGCCACAAACACATTGCATCCGTCCGGAGTGGCCACTATGTCATTCGCACGTTGTCCACCATCCAAAATCCTTGACCGCTCAGGGAAGTAGAGGTTGGTCTTTACACTAATTTGTCCCCACACTTCACCCCCTGGCATCTGCGCATAGTAGAGGCAAGTACCGTTCGCAACAACGCTTTGGGATTGAAACACCACGTCCAGCTCCGATTTCGCCAAAAAGTCTTCGCCCGGTTTAGTTCCCCACATCGGACGTCCCGAGTCGTCGACCTCGATGGAATTTATTGAATAGAAATCCCTCTGGTACACTGTGTTCACAAGTATGCTCGTGTTGTCCACAGCCAGAGACGTGACGAAATACCTCTGCCAGATTGATGAGCGAGAGCCGTCAGAAAGAGACACAGAAATAAGCATGCTGAGATTTTCGGCATGGAAGCCGTTCCCATACAGTAGTTCCTTGAATCTTCTGACACTCAGCAGGAGATGTGCTCCATCCCTAGACAGACCCATGCCTGACACATAAGGTAGACTTTCTGTTACTCCGGAATCGGTCCCGTTCGCAATTCTGGAGCCGTTCGGTTGGTCGAATGGCCACATGTAACTTACTGTCCCTTCGTCAGTATGTGGGGACATAGAATCATCGCTGGCACGGCCCTGCAGTAAGCTAACGTTTCTGATCGAGACCTCACGATGGGTGTCGCTACCGTCTTTGGAACAGTACTGCTCCAGGACATAATACAGGACATGCAATGGTGAAATCACGAGGTTCTTGATTTCGGAGTGACATTCTTCGTCGGCGGACGAATCAGCCCTGGGGGGATGGGATCGTACGAGCCTGACCGAGCCTTTTAGCATGAAGTTTGGACGCAGGGGCAGCAAACCGTAGTCCGGCTGCGTCCCTGGATCAGCGTTTGCCCTCGATGGTGCCGCCGGAGTGGCAGTTGCTGGCGGCAGTGCCGCGGGAGCACCACTTGCGGGGGAGAGGGGCGGTTGAGACGCACTTGCGGACTCCTGAAGAAAACGAGCACTCGCGTGGCCGCTGGCATGGGAGGCAGCGCGCCTCAATGCCGTTCTATGTACTTCTTTCTCCGCGCTCGGCGCGAGGAGCAGACAGCAGCCACACACCGCCGCAGCTATTGCCAGCAAACAGGACAAGAAAAATCGCATCCACGCAAAGGAACAGACATGACGACGCTTGCCATGGCAGAACATGGCACAGGTGCCCCTAACCGGACAGGCGAACTTCATATCCGCAATCCTCATAAGTCCCGTCCCAGAGGCTTACGATTTGAGTGTGCTATGGATGCCTAGCAAGCGAGCGAGCGAGCCATCACCAACGAACTCCTGTCCGGCCCATTTCAATTTCTCCCCCAGTTCTGTACTGCTTTCCGCCACAGAATTGACACGCTCTTCAGAGCAGAGGATGCTCCAGCAGAGCACACTTCTTAGTGTGACACATACTGCGAAAGTCGTGTCCGTGACGCTGGCTGGACACGTTCACCATGGAGGCGTGCTCCCAACTCCACGTATGAACAACGACAGCGCAAAGAGGCAGCCAGCGCAGAGACTAGACATAAGTCATCGCGTAGGCCGCCGGCAAGCAGGCGAACGCCTGCCTTTCCCCCCAGCAGCCTTCGAGCCTCACTAACGGATGATATAGTACTGCTCTGGCCACAGGCCGATTGGACACGGATGTGCAGAGTGAGAGAGCCGTGGCAGCGAAGGCGTGCGTCAGTTCCTGGGTGCGTTGGCTCCGGCCATGCTCAAAAGGCGTTTTTCGTTCCCCCGCTCGTGCAGTGAGAAGACACACGAAAGTCGGCCATCACAGAACATGGCAATGGCTGCACAACCGGGCCATGAAAGCTTATAATTAACATCTAAACATCTTAGAGCTTCTTCCTAACGGATAAACGAATAAGTAGTCGAAACCCTCGTGCCCCATCTATTGTGGCAACTTCGCCCTTGATGCACCTAATCACTCTAGGTCTCTATCCCACAATCACCAGTCGAATTGTGGATTGCTCTCACACACGTCGCTGCCAAATCATAATGGATGCCCAAGAACGATGTCCTTAACTCGATGTAAAAGCACCAAGCCCCCGCAGAGAACACAGTCCCGCCGCCGTCAATCTTCCTGTCAAATTCAGTTCCACGATCGCCTATCTCCCGGTTGATGTAAAAGCACACCTTGCTAACCACCTGAGTCGCATCGGTCTCCGTACATCCGCAGTGCGTACATCTCCCTCGTTGCGTCTTGCAATCTCCTCCACGTAACTCTTCGCATTTCCATCGAGAAGATCCCGTCTCTCTCTCCAGCGATCAAGAGGGAAGGAAACGAAAAGAGAGATTCCATGGATAGGGCTCCACGTGTCGAATATTGAATTGGTCGCTACAACCGACGCCTCCGATCATGCCCCTGTCCCCTGGCATTCACGGCGTGCTGGACACGAGAAGGTACCATCATCAGTACACGCCATCATTACTAGGAAGACAAGCATCGGTTTCCCCAGATTTCTCCCGAGCGCGCTAACCCATACCGAGAATGGCAGACAAGCAGTCGCAGGATGGCTCATGCTTACGTGGAAGACGAGCATCGATTTCCCCAGATTTCTCCCGACCGGGTTAACCCATAGCGAAAATGGCACACAAGCAGTCCCGGGATGGCTGTGCGGAAGAGAATAAGAGGGAGGATAACGAGAGGCGCTAGTAGCCACACCGGGCAACCGATCCAGGTCTCTCGCGAACGCTTCACAGTCTTCACTCATAGCAAGCATAGCAGACAGACAAGCAACGCGGCTGTGGGTGCAGCAAAGACAGCGTGAGGAGAGGCGTCCTGCCAACCAGACAAACGGGCACAACTCCCAACAGGGGATGTCGCCGCTATCGTGCGTGTGCACCTGACCGGAAATTCAACGTCGCATGCAACGGAAACCGACGCATTCTTTCCAACTAACAGATAGTCAGTGTCCACCGCCCACCTACGTAATCCCACATGGGTACACACCTGGAGACCCACACCCACCCACACACACACACACACACACACACACACACACACACACACACACACACACACACACACACAAAAAGAGAGAGAGAGAGAGAGAGAGAGAGAGAGAGAGAGAGAGAGAGAGAGAGAGAGAGAGAGAGAGAGAGAGAGAGAGAGAGGACCAGCGGGGTAGAATAACGTCAAACCTCGTGGATTGTGAGGTCCATGTGCGCTAAGCCCAGTCCATGAGATGCGTAGCGTCGAAAGGCTGGTTGGTCGCAGGCACCTTCCGCAGCCTAGCATTGGAGTCGGTCGCTGCTCAACATCATGCATTGCCGGCGGCGTACATCGCGAGGTATGCTTACGAGAGACTTAGTGGCTGTCTCTCTGTGAGCACGTCGGTTCATGGCGTCGCAAGGTCCGGCCACCTACGTCATCCCACATAGGTACACACCTGGAGACCCACACCCACCTCCCACCCACACACACACACACCGAGAGAGAGAGAGAGAGAGAGAGAGAGAGAGAGAGAGAGGACCGGCAGGGTAGAATAGCTTCAAACCTGTGAGCTCCATGTGCGTTCAGCCCAGTCCATGAGATGCGTAGCGTCGAAAGGCTGGCTGGTCGAAGGCACCTTGGGACCGTTGATAAGGGCGTACTCGCAGTGAAGCTGTCCCCGTGCTTGGTATACTCACATTCTAATTTGCTTATCCAGCCAGACGCAATTGCGAGTATCTGATCAGTTCAATTATTCAATATCTGATTTTTAAAAAAGGAAGGGGGAAAAAGCGCATGGATTCAAGATGTCCTAAATTCTAGGGCAAAGGGGTTACCTCCCTCCACTGAGAGAGGTAACCTCCCTTCACAGAAGAGAGGTAGAAAGCTAGGCTTGCAGGGGTCCCCTGTATAGCCTTAGGGGTAGTGGTAGGTAGTGAAAGGAAAAAGATATGTTCCATGACATGCCAGAAGCCAGTTAAAATATGTGAGGTGAGAGAAAAAATATATATATAGCTGTGCCCCAATGAGGAGAAGACAGCTCTCAAAAAAAAAAAAAAAAAAAAAAGATGTCCTTTCTTTTGCCACGTGCCGCCGGCCTGCTTTCTGCCCCTAAGAATTGGTTCGACTGCCTCCTCTTTATTTCCATGTTTTTTTTTTCGTTTTTTTTTTTGCCCCTGGCTGTACCGTACACTCACGACGGCAGATTGCAACTTAAAACTATCTCATCATCCTTTCAAATCTCCGAGATCAATCAGGACCGCCTATGAGGTCCGCCAGAGCCACAAATGGCTAATGAGGAAGGAAGAAGTGCCTCCCCCGGATGATTGGACTTAAAAGCTTCATTTTTTGGTTAAGTAATTTTTGCCCGGGGCTTCAACGCTTACTTTTGGAAAGTGTTTCAAAGAGTGGGACGCTGGACCCGGTTTTTTCAACCAATTCAATTACCTATCAAATCTGGACAGGACGGCCTTCAGGCCTTTTTTATTGTCATTATAGTATTACGGGGAACCCCGTAGCAGCCACATCCGTGCTCAAGCCTCAAACGAGGGAACATGCGGGAGCTGCACCCACCAGCAGGTGGGCGATACCAGCCAGGGGTCAGCCGGTAGCATCAGGACCGAGCTTCTTCCATGGGCCAGTCACTGTGCCTCCCCTCCGGTCCCCTCCCCCTATGAACATCAGCAGTCTCTGCTCAATGCCATTCGGGGGGACCAACGGCATATCTCTAGGTGGCGGGCGCCAAGCATGCCCAGGAAGGTACATGAGGCCAATGGGGATTGAACCCAAGACCTCCTGAATGCCACTTGCGTGTCTTACCAACCCAGGACCCTGTTTCCAGCAGCAGGAGAGACTAAGTTGAATTCGATGGATGGAAGAGCTCAGCTCATAAGCTAAACTGGCTGAAGCTGCCAGGATAACTCCGGGTCGAATTGTGAGGTCCCCGGGGCCAAGTCCCACTAGCACGGGTTTGCTTTTCATTCCGTGACCGGTGCGGCAGGGTGCGGCGGGGCGCGGCGGAGCACGACAGCATTCGAGGCTTTTTGAAAAAAAATTGAAACACCTGACGAGGGCCCTGTAATGATGAGAATTCTGGTATGTGTGGGGACTGCCTATCGTTGGGCCTCCCTCTGTCTCTCACTCCGGCGGTAGTGTGACGAACCACTTTCTGTAGCGCGTGACTTTCTGCGCAGCTACGTTGAGGGGTCCTAAGTTGGGAAGGTTGGGCCAATTACGAGAGATCGGGATCGGTGGGAAATTGCATCAGTGCCCTTGCTTTTTCGTCTTTTTCGTCGCTAATTTTTGAATGGCTGGGTTCGGAGCCGGGTGTGTCCTAGGACAGCCGGTTGATTGATTGGTTGACCGAATGGCTGGCGCGCCGCCGTGCACACGATTGATAAATGTTGACGTCGTTTCTTTTGTTTCGGTTCCAAACTTTTGGGCGCGGACATCGCGCGGGAATTTGCTTCATTCTTTTTGGATTTTTCTTTTAAATCTTTTTCGAATTTTGTCGAGCCCCGATGGCTCTCGGAAATTCGGACTTTTCTTCTGGAATTTGTGTTTTTTGCTTCTTCGCATTACACAGGAATTTAGGAATTTCGTAATTAGGATTTTCCTTGCCGCGCGGCGCTTTTTGTCTACGCGCTTCTTCATACGGCTGCAACGGAACTCTGATTAGTAGGCGCCTTTAATCGTGTGTGTAACTGTAATTTCGGGCAGGCACCATTGTAACTGTATCTTTCTTCTTGTGCTTCGCCTTTCCCGCCCTTCTTCTCTTTTTGTTGCTGCGTTTTTGATAGCCGCGGTTTGCATGATCGGATCGAAAGCGGCTACGTCCCCCACACCGCGATCAGGTCATGCAGACGTAGGCAATCCCTCCTCCCTTCTCCCTCCTAAGTCTTTGTAATTCCGTGTTTTTCGCGCATGCATGCACGCTATAAATTTCGGCTGCACGATTAGTTAGCTCTCTTAACCAGCTGTTGGAAGCTCAGGGTTGCGCGATCAGAGAGGGTCGGCACACGAGCGAAGTAAGAGGTGAGTAGAGCAGGGGTCGGGCGACCCGACGAGTTGGTGCCAAACGCGAGGGGTTGGCGTGGGCCTCGACGGACTGTGGGCACGAGCGAACCTGACGGGTGCGGGAGGACTAAGCTGGGTGACGGCTTCGTGGGTTGGTGCACGACGACGGACTGTCCGCATCAGAGAAGAAGAGCGAGGGAGAGAGAGTTGAGGTTGATGAATGTGGAGTTGCTGTTCTTTCAT